GAAATTCATTCATTGAAGTTGTTCTCGCATCCTGCTCCACTCCCTTTCTCTCCTCTCCTGCTAAGATTCAGCCCCGCTTGATACAAAAAGATGTTGATGCCGTTTTGAAGGCGTTGCCGTACAGTGCCCCTGTATCTTGTGATAGCGCCAGAATTATGGTTTCATAACTTCTAAACAGTGTTGTAAAGCGATTTCGTAAAAACAAACACATCAGTCATTTGTTTGCTCTAAAAATTAATGACAACAAAAAAGGATAAATCTCATGCAGTGTTCCCAGGGCCGTAAAAATTACTGCGGATCGTTCGGCTCTGAGTTCTTGCTGTTTTTGTGCTTTTGCGTTTCGTTCGCATCTTTGTGAATAATGTTTTGTTAGGATTTTGAAAGGTTCCTTGTTACTACCTTCTTCTTCTTTGTATTCTGAACGGCACGATTATATCGTTCGGGGGGGGGGGGGCATTCGGGTGAGCGAGCCACTCACAGCACCTGGAGCTAAGCTTTAGGGGGAAGGGATCCTGGGAAAAAATGTGAGCAGTTTCTTTCTTCCTGGCGTTCCTCCTTGGGTTTGATCCTATTGTCACTTTCCAGCGGTTTTTTGTCTTGTCACGCCCTGATTTGAAAGTCCTCCTCAAGGGTATGACAACTCTGAACGGCCTTTCAAGCCAATGAACCTTTCCAGTTGTATCGCTAGCGATAGAATCTTGTCTCAACTTAACTCTTTCCTTCACCTCAGAGACAGTGTCGAGCACGGGTTTTAGAATACGCGAGTAGGATCAGTATTTGTGGTTTCGGGTACGTTGCCCGTTGAAGGGACATGTGCCGATGCCTATTGCAGATGCGCAAGTATTGCGACGGCAACGTCAGTAAAACCGCGACAAACGATTATCTTTTGTCGGAGACGGGATCAAGTCTTAGGTGCGGAGGGTAGAGTAGACACTGTCGTAAGTAATTTCATTTTCCCGGAGTTTCTGTCCACCCCCTCCTGGGCTGCTTCCAAGGAAAAGCCCCATCCGTGTCTTGCGATAACGCCACTTTTTTGAAGTTTATGGAAAAGGATGAGGTACGCGTAGTAAGCAGGTCAGGTCCTGTTCAGATTATATCACAGTTCTTGCCATGTCTTGCTTTGTTAGCTGTTTGAAAGCCCCAGTACAAGGCAGGCTCTAACATGCTTTATTTTGTCAGTAACAGAGCGAACGGCTCGTCCCATGATGTCCTCCCGTCGGACAAGAGATCCGTGGTTTTTTAAAGGTTTTATCTCAGATGACAATCGGCATCTAATTCTCAATTGGTGTTCGAGTCTGGTGGGGGGATTAGAGAGATTACAAAGTCCGGTGAGTGACCGCACGGCGACAGAATGGGCGTGATAGAACCTGGCTCTTGTACGGAGCGTCCGTGCTGGTATATAGGAGGAGTATGGCAGTTGGTCGAACTTGCCGGCAAGTGGTTTGGCGGCACCCCGGGGCTAACCTCCCTTGCCCTGCGCGCGCGCGAGCGCTGCGTGTATTTTTGGATAGTCGCCCAAGGGCGGCTGTGGTGGGGGTATTGTGCACTCACCAGCGAGGCATACCCTCTCACGTTGGTGCTGAAACGTGTGGGTACACAGCAGTAGTGTAGCTGCGCGCTCCAGTGCCAACGTGGATTACGGTAGCGGTCACTCATCGGACTGTTAAAACCGGCTTGTGGGTGGGGGGGGGGGGGTGGTCAGGTTTT